TTTTTAAAAAATCCTTAGATAACTGCAAAGCCCTTTATAAATGAGGGGAAAAAATGAAGCTTTGCAGCACAACAGGAAAAAGGAAATGCTTTGGAGATAGGGTCTAGTGTGTATACTATACTGAGCCATGACATCAGTGTAATTATTTTTCCCTAAGGTAAATGTCTTATGTTACAAATTCTTCCCTTGCCAGAGGCCTCAGGCCCCACAGATGTTCAGATAGCAAAGCATTTGAGTTCTCAACACCCAAGAGGTCCATAGGAGCTCTATTCCTATACCATACCTACAGCCCAATCAGTTTCTGGTTTTCTCATTCTCTATTTGTTGTCCCCTTTCACCTGTCAGAGACACCTCCCCCTTGTGTTTCTCAAAATAGTTGATGCAGCTTTGAAAGGCAAGGTGTGCCCTTGCAGCAGACCTTTTGCTGGCTTCTACTTCTGCTGTAGTCAAGTTTCTATCCGGTGCTGGGGCCAAATTTCCAAAACATGTCAATTAAGCAAACACTTCCCACTGAGAAAAATACCTGACATTGATCTTCAGCCCTACAGTAAGATCCGGTAAAGGTTCACAGAAACAGAGATTCTTTGGGGATCTCCTAATTAGAATTCCCTTTCTGAAGAGTTCATATGGTACTGCCTGACAAGAAATTTTAGATGTTCCATGACCCCTTTCCCCATGTTTTTTACAAATAAAACTCCTTAAGATCAAACACATGGTAATACATATTAGTTATGGTATTTATTACATAGGAAATAAATTAAATTAAGGGTGATCATACTACCTCAACAAGTTACCTAGCATTTGCTCTATAATAATAGATGTAAGCAAATGATATAAAGACATTACATTAGAGTTAATATTTTAAGTCACAAAGGACTGTTGAATGTACATGTTTTAAGCACAACCCCTTTTAGAAATGTTGCTCCTAATTTCTAACATGAGAGTGGTATTGTCCAGATGAAAAAGCTGTTAAGTATAAATGCCACTATTTTATATAAGAGAGTGAATTGTGAAACCAATTTTAAAGGAAAACTCAGAACCTGCTACCTATATTGTTTACTATTAAGCCACACATAGTAATGGAAATAAATGGTCATGTCTGGTTTTGCTTACTAAAATTAATTACTATTAAGGTTACATAATTAAGTGTCATGCTTACAATATTACGTCCTTTAAATGAACTCGTTAACAATACCAGTTAAGGCATTCCCAGGTATTTCTCTATATTTATTAGAGGAAATAATACATATATTGATGTAATGAAATGGCAGCACGTCTCAAAAATAAAGGCAGCATGTTTCTGTATTATAGAAAAAATATAATAATAATAAAATAATACTTCTGTATATAGTATCAGAGATATACCAGAGTACATTTGGAAACAGAGATTGAAAGTAGAGCCCGCTTCTAAGGAGTGCTTATGTGAAAATAGCACCATTCTATAAAAATCCAGTATTTGCATGCAACAATTACTCTTCTTAGTGTTGGTCAAAATACAAAGTGGATCATGTTGTGCAGTTGTTTCAGTTTTTTACAAGTGTAAATATATTACAACAAAACTTACAATGCAAAAAGGAATATTAAGAATACACTTCAATTGAGAACACTTACTGGTGTAATATAGTTTCAGAACTGACATAAGGTACCTAACCATTTCAAAATGAAAAGTAAAGAAACACTTTAAGTTTAATGCATACAATTAATCTTTACTTGCCTTTGTACTGACTTAAGATAATATAATTCTGATTAAATTATTTTCATGCTTGTGGTCCTAAACTAGACCAAACTGGTTTTTAAAGGAATGTTTTTCCTTTCACAGAACTCCTTAGCTGAAGCTTATAATCTGGCCCAAGGAAAATCAGTTTTGAAATAAGTGTGGTATTGGTGCAAAACATGCAATTACTATGAGTAGAAGGTAGGAGTGTTCAAGCTAAAGAGCTGCATAGGCAGACATTGGAAGTGTGAGCTTCCAGGTTTAGTTACGATAGAGATTTCACATTGGCCCCAGTCCACAGTATGTTTAGGTAATTAACACTCATTTCAGCCAAGCATCATTCTTTGTCTTCGACATCCCAATGGAATACAAAGATTTGTCTCATTCTTCTTGCCCTTCCTTATACAAATGACAAACGTTAATGGTTATTCCATCCAATAGTGCAGTGCAGAATCTCATACAAGCTACTATGTCATCTACAGTTTGTTGGTGCTGGTTTCATTTAAGGGGAAACTTAAAAAGAAAAGGATGTCAATAAGTTATTAAGCTGCCAAGAGAAAGTTATGGATATCTGACTCATGGTATCTACAAGACAAGGCTATAAAGCCTGGGTTGCTGGTTTCACAGTAGACATCAAAAGTGCATTAATAAAACATAACAGTGAGGGTTATTCTATAGGGAAAATCTGAAATTTTGAAATTTGGTACATAATTATTCAGTTTGACAGTACCAAAATGACTGCTCATAAGGGATTTTGCTGGATATCTCTCAATTTACCCCACAACATACGAGACATAACACTACAGAACACTATATACTTTCTGGCACCATAGAGATCATTTCAAAAGCTGTGGAAGTTGTGGCAGTGATTTAATTGGAAACAACACGTTTGCCAGTTAGTGATAAAGCTGAAAGTACACATGAACAATTGTTTTCCAAAACCAGAAAGAATAAGCATGGAAAAATTCAGCTGGATTTCTAGTTGACCATAACCCAACTAAAGGCTTGATAGTGCACTGATTTCAGTATCTTAGAGGGATATTTCCAAAGTTTTTATTAAATGCACAAGTAAATAGACTTTTTAGAACATAGTGTGTCTGGCTCACTTTGAAAAACAGAAAGCAGTGTGACTTTTCAGGGAGCAATAGATACATTCTACAAACAAAGAAAGTAATATATTGCAGTCTAATAGAATCACGCAAGATAGCAATTAGTAGAAATACTGGCCTGATCCTATGAATACAACTTGCCATACTTACTACCTTGCAGGTCCTGTGTTTCATTCATTTGTCAAATTCTTGCTTCATGTGTACTTCATTAAAAGCTCTTAATTTAATTTTCACCTGTTTACACTTTCAACAACTTCACTTTCACACTAAGACTGCTCCCATGACATCAAGTGCTAAATAAAATCTTCAGCTTAGTAACAGAAACATCTTTTCTTACTAATACTTTCAATAACTCACAATAACTCACCTTGAAGGGCAGGCCTAGTGTGACTCATTGACATTCCTGGGCCCTTAAATGAGTTGAACTCATCTCTCAGGAGAAGAAATAGGACTGTCTTTGTCTGGGCACAGCAGATAGAATCATTCATCAGGAATCTTTGAAATATGCCTTACTGTTCCCAAAGCAACTGATTTGCCTCCCTTTGCTTCAGACTTTATCAGAGGAACTTGGTCAAAACTCTTAGAAACTCATACAATAATATCTACAATCAGTTCAGACTCAGCTGCAGAATTATTTTTGGCTCGTCAAGGAGAAAGAGCTAGATTACCAGTCCCTTCATCCATGATGACTGCAACTGATCTGGCAGCTCTAACTAGACTTTCAGAACTAACCTCTCTGATAACCCCCTGAAACTGAATTTTTCTACCAAATAAACTAGCAAATTTTGGCTGCCTCTAAATTAGCAGGATCCAGATTTCATTGTACAAATCTCTTTGTATGGAAATCTCTTGACCTATTTACATCTCCGTTTCTGACTCAGGTTTCTCTTTGGTGGTTGTGATTAAAAAGGAAGTATGGCAATCATGTTGAATTAAAATAAATTAAAGCTGTGCACTTTCCCAATTAAGCCTCTTGTGGGACGTCTTTCAACAGGAAGACAGGCCCATCCATTACTCTGAATTGCAGATACATTTTAAAAGCTTCATTCTCTCTTATAATTTAAAATTTCATGATTACTTATCATGGGTGTGGTTAGAGTTGCAAAACGTTGTCTCCTTATGGGTGCAGAGCTGGAGCACTTGAATCTACAACAGAGTCACTAGTTTTTAAAGGCTGGTAAACTCTGAGTTAAACTCCAGAACAACTATCAGCTTGGGAATAATCACATATATGAATTGAATTTGCATTTTTAATTAGGTACTCTCTTTATTTCTATGCCCTGTATTTCTTCAAGAGCAACAAATGAATCTAAGTTTCATTCTTCATTTATACAAATACAATTTTAGGCATAGTAATATTACATACATTTTTAGAAGCCAAAGAGAAAATTGCCTACTATTTAAGTACACAGGGTATTTGCATTGTCACAGTACATTACATGAATTTGATGCTTAACATGTAACTGTACTAATCTTTGTGGCAAACATAATAACAAAAGAAAGTTGTTCAGAGATTTTTCTATTTTTATTTTAAAAAAATAACAAAAACCTTTCCATTGAAGGACCACATGTAAAACTATGGTTTCTCTGCACAGAGACCAAGGCTGCTTATTACCTACAGTATACTGGCTATGATGAACAGACCACCATAGTTGTGACAACTGATGTTGCTGCCTCCAGGGTAAAACAAAGGTTTACATATTACACAAGCAATTTAACTGTTTTCTAAACATATTGCCAAGACAGTGGGAGTTGGCAGCCAGCACTGTGTTTTAGGTTTTGGATACTTGGATTAGAAGTGACTGCTGATTATAGACCTTTTTATTTGTCTTCTACGAATTACAAGCAACCTAGTAACCCAGCAAAGAATCCTTCACAGCACTTAAACTTGTCTTCATGGCTTCCCAAAGATTACATACACAAATCACTCCACAAAAGTGGCGTAAGAGACTTGTGCATAGATAACTACATAAGACAATTGTCTTGTTCTAACTCCTAAAGACTTCCCCAAAGTGAAATGTTTTATAATCCTTTTTGTGCAGTAGTCAGGAAAGAAATAAAAGAGTTTGGGCAAAGATTATCCACAAGAAAGAAACTTTTTTTTTTGGGTTCCAGCTGAAACACAATAAAGAACATAATTAACTTCACAATTCTTTGTGTTTTTCATTTGACTGCAGGGAGGAGATGAAAGAGGACTGTTAAGCCTTGCATTCCATCCCAATTACAAGAAAAATGGAAAGCTGTATGTGTCTTATACCACCAACCAAGAACGGTGGGCTATTGGACCTCATGACCACATCCTTAGGGTCGTAGAATACACAGTATCCAGGTATCAGTAGAAGTCTAAAATTCACAAATTCTTTCTTTCTCAGCAACCTTTTCATTTTCATTTTAGTATTTAGTATTTCCAATTTCTAAAATGAACTATCAGGTTTACAATGTGTATACTTGGGCACTTGCAGAAAAATTATTGCTGATTTTATTTCAAACAGTAGTTCTGGAACACCGGTAAGTACACTGGTTTATTCTCTTTAAGACTTTTTTTAGTTATTCTGTCATTTTTTAATTATAGTAATTTCCTATTGTGTATAGGCAGCAAAATATTTTTTTGTGAATGCTGGAAAGTTGAAATTTCTCAGAAATAATTGTTTGACATTTTTCCACCAAGTTACAGCATCCATATCTTAAAGTATAATTTGAATGACTCAAGTTTATTTTTAGAAAGACGAACGATAGTGAATTGTGAAAACTGTGTTCATATCTTTATATTGCAGGAAAAATCCACACCAAGTTGATATGAGAACAGCAAGAGTGTTTTTAGAAGTAGCAGAACTACATCGAAAACACCTAGGAGGACAGCTTCTGTTTGGCCCAGATGGTTTCCTATACATTTTTCTTGGAGATGGCATGATCACTCTAGATGATATGGAGGAGATGGATGGTTTAAGGTACAGAAACTGCCAATGGATAGAATTCTATTATTTTCTTCTGTTTCTGTAAAGTATTTGAGGTCAGAATCAAAAGTGATCAGCAGTTGTCAGGACAAATCTTACTCCCTCTTCCTTTACTACATAATCCTACTATTTTCAGTGCCTGTGTTTAGCAAACTGCTGATTTTCAGAACAGTCTTACTGCTTAAATACATGTTCTTGTAGTTGTGTGCTATCAAACCATTTAAATATTGGAGCCCTCACCAGCAGATGCAATTGTATATAAGCACAGGTTAGACTTCTTTTTTCCAAACTATTATTCTACAAACAGGACAACTTTATTGAGCAAACATTCTAAAAAAGTGTCTACAAACACTTACCAGAGTCAATAACAACACTATCACTTAGGAAAATGTCTAGAGAACATATGAAGCAATCCTGCTTTGGTTCTACCTATACAATTTTCTCAACCTGCTTTTTCCCTCTGTTTCCTTATGCTCTGTTAGAGTTGCAACATTTGCCTTAATTTAGAGAAAGTGTGATACTGAGCCTTTACAGACCTAAAAGGAATTGCTATGCTCAAAGGCCTCTTTGGCTCAGCAGAATAGCAGGTGCTCCTGCCTTTTGCAGTAAGGATATACTTAAAACCAAGACCAGAGAGCAATAATACTTGATTTTAAATTCGTGTAAAACATGAGAGACTGAAACAGATTCATGATGAAGAAAGACAGAAAGGAATCCGTTTAAATATCACATCTTCTCATGTTTGCAAAAAGAGTTTTGATGCTCTTCTACTCCTTCTACATTCTTGTCCTTCTCCCTTCCTCCATCACAATCATGAATGTAAGGCAAAACATTTCACTCTGTCCTGTTTCATGTAACAAGAAAAGTTCTGATTCTTTACAAAAAAATACCAACATCTCCATTCAACCAATACAATTACTTACTTTTTTTTTTTTTAATTAATGTATAGTTAATCTTTGGATTGTACTGTGACTAGAAATCATTGAATTCAAGAGTAGGATTCAAAGTGTTAGCAAAAAGCATTGTAACTACATAGTGATTATATCCATAGTTACTCTAGAAGAGATGCAGTATAAAAGAGTTAATAGCCTTATGTTTGAAGCCATAAAACAATATTGATGTATGGAAAGTTGCTCTTATTATCAAGTTGCTTCCCAACAGCATGGTCAGAGGCATTGTAGTATGGACATAACAAGGCAACATACCGGCCAACTGAATCTTTGACAGGTTCTGCTACTGTTCTTTGGACTTGCACGTACCATAAAACCAATCTATATGTGATTATTCAGTAAAGTGGGTGATTTATTTTGCTGGTTCACGGTAGTATTATATGGACTAAATCTACCAGTAAAATACTTTTAAAAAACAATTATTTTATCCTCCAACTTTCTCAGTGATTTTACAGGTTCTGTATTGCGCCTCGACGTAAATACTGACCTGTGCAATGTCCCTTATTCCATACCACGGAGCAACCCACATTTTAATAGCACAAACCAACCTCCCGAGATTTTTGCACATGGACTCCACAATCCAGGCCGGTAAGTAAGTTTCAATTAAACTGAAGTTAAACTCTGGAGAAGATACCGTTTTCAACCAGAAATCTTTTATACAGTCGGGTAACAAAATTTTAATAATAAAGGCACTCGTGAACTTTTTAAAACTTCCACTCCTCCACCTCCACTCATATGTCACAGTTAGAAACAAATGTACATTGGCAAGGGGGAAGGAGAAGAGCATGCACAACTATTACAAGTCAAGAGTGAAATGACAGAAACAAAGTAGAGGATTTTTGGTTTTAATGAATAATAAAATGATTACCTTTATGAAAGAAGAGAACTTAAAGCAGAGAGTTGGTAAAGTACAGCTGAGATGGGAATCTCAACTGAGAAAAAAAGCACGTGGAAAACAAATGAGAACATCTGGTGATATCTAAACAATAACAAGGAGGAGAACAAAGCTTTAACCAAACAACACATAATTCAGCAAATTAGGTGGGTGGTAGTACTGAAGTGACATTTAAAGTCATGGTTTGAAAAAATTCAGAAAGTCAAGTTGTTCAGATAAGGAGTTGATTCTTGAACTTCTGAACAGTCCAAAATTCCTATACCATATAAGTCAGCTCATTTAGCTTGGTTAAAGCACTATTCATTTCAGGTGCTATTGAGCAGAGTACATTTTATCACTAGGAAAAAATAGGTTTACTTCACATTATATAAAATGTGGTGTAGGGATGGGAAAGGTGTATTATCTCTTGTATTCAAATCTGATGCACTTAGATATTTTGGCTTAGCATGAAATAGGTGCCTCAAATGAGTAGGCATCACAAAGAAACAATAATCCTTCAAAATGTGATGCTTCATACTGTTGATAGAGGATTACACATTATGAACTCATCTATCTCATGGTTTTTCTTATATTTTTTGTTTTACAGATGTGCTGTGGACCGCCACCCAACAGATGTAAACATCAATTTAACTATACTTTGCTCAGATTCAAATGCAAAGAACAGATCTTCAGCAAGAATCTTACAAATAATAAAGGGTAAAGACTATGGTAAGTTCCATCCAGGGTAAAGCTACTGGAAACAGTCGGTTTCTATGCCCATGGAATAATAAACAGAAAGCAGAAGAAAATAGGTAAAGGACTGTATAGCCATGATAGGTAACTTACAGCTTAGACAGGATAGGTAACCTACAAAAACTAGAACTTAGGAAAAGTATGGTACAAGCAGGTAACAGATGCAAGACAAAACAAAATTTAAATGACTCAACTTTCTTCTTGTTGCTCTAGAATATCATGTAAATAAGATTTAAGAAATATGCCATTTGCTACTCTGTCAAAGATCTTACTGTTGCTGCATATGATGGCTCATAAAGAAAAGATTTTGGAATATCAGGAAGTGATGAAAATGTATTCTTAGCCATTCACAAATAACCCTTTAAGATACAGAATGGAAACCACATGAAATGTGCCTCCTATAATGGAAAAAGTGAGATAGACAACAACAGACCAAAACCAAACAGGGAAATGACAGAGCTCTGTTTAAATGTTACTAAAAATGAAAAACTTAATGAAAAATGCACAATGCTACTACTTCATAATAAACGACTAGCTTAGATTAGATTACAAAAAGATAAACGTACTCAATTAGGGACTTAAAATTTTAAAGTGTTTCATGTTCTCTCTGGATCAGTATGATTGTCAGTTGTGATTTTAGTTTAATGTTTAACTCTGATACTCACTAAGATCGCTTGCTAGTTCAGGCAAGTCAGGTGACAGTTACTCTGAGCTATCATCTACCTTTCTTGACCATTTAGCAGCTTGTAAATTCATAGCGGTAAAAAGTGATAAATGCCAAAGGTGTGTAAAGGCATCAAGAACTGGTCTATCTCCTGGAACATAGCATTTTCTGGTTTTATTCACATCCCTAGTTCACCCATTTGTATTTTACTTAAAAGCAAAGCAGCTGTGCTGGCTAATACAATAGTACACAATAGTGTAATGCAATTGTTCTACTTCAGTTATTGCATGTATTTTCTGTGTTCATTTTATAAAAGCCAAACCAAAGAATAATATTTGGTAAACCACTGCTCCAATGGAATTTTGACTGCATCTTTATTGCAGAGTAAACTAAGCAATATTTTGTCTACCCAGAACAGCTTGCCAATATTAATAGTAGGCTCTGGGTCAATCGCTTCAATTGCTCATCATCCTTTTCTCCCATGTAAAATTTGAGCTCTTACTCTTGCAGAATAATCTGGGAAATTCATTTATCAAAGGCTTGCAGATAGCCGTCTGACTAAAACAAGTTCCTATAAAACAAAAAGGTGTATTGGCTGTGGCTTTAATTTAAAATTATTCAGTTAGCATGTCAAGTTGAGCCTACCTTTACCCTAAGCAGTATTTGATCGCATAAATAGGAACATTTACACTGAAACTTCCTTGAAGACTTTATTTGATATGACTAAACTCTGCAATTTTGCAAAAAAAGAGAAAAAAAAAAATATGTGTAGGAACTACAACTACAACAGCAGCGTAAAATAAGTTACCGCAAGAATCTACGGCCAGCAATACTAGTGTTTTATGGGATGTAACACACATACCGTGTTTAAAACTGTGATGTTGAAAGAGGTTCTCAAACCACTGAAAGGCTTTGAAAACGAGTTCTGCTGAAAATCACCGGACTTTCTGCTCTTAGATACTGGAAGGACTTTACAGTGAAGGGGGTTTAATTGTATTCCTGAAGTTCAGGAGATCCCTTCTGCAGACTGTATTGACACATAAAAGTTAATAGCCGTAATCACATCAACTTCAATGAAAGCCCGACCTAATCTTTATATAGTTTTATTCTCCCAACCTGTGCACACAGAAGAAAGCAATTATAGCCTCTCCTATCTAAATCCCTAACCGATTGTTTCACAAACAGCCTTTGTTGTAATTTTCTGATTTTTTTAGTGTTTCATTTCCGGCAACACATCTTGAATTTTAAGGAATGTTTAAATGGAATTAACCTCTTTTCTTGAAGTTATAACATTTTCATAAATGTAAATCAAAATATGAAACTGCATATGATCTAATGCTACGGTAGTTCCTTTTTAGAAAGTGAGCCTTCACTTTTAGAATTCAAACCGTTCAGCAGTGGATCCTTGGTTGGTGGATTTGTCTATCGAGGCTGCCAGTCTGAAAGACTCTATGGAAGTTATGTATTTGGAGACCGCAATGGGTAGGTTTTTTCTAACTCACTCTTAAACAAAAATGCATGTAAGGTATATTTCATTACTGAGCTTCCTGTATGAAGGAACACCAGTGGTCTTGTATATTGTGTCACTTTGCCAATTTAGTGGTGTGACAATGCAGATTAAATTCTATATTTGGAAGTAAAATAGCACAGCATTCTAATGAATGGCAACATATGTAACATACCTGATCCTTGGTAAAAAACTACAGACAAAGACATTCACATTATGGCGCTCTTAAGATTTTAGTTCTATAAACACTTACGTGAATCATTTACATTATGATGGGAATAAATGTTAACCATGGAACTGTTTCCCAAACAGGTCTAAATGGTAAGACATTGAAAACTTTTGGGGTTTTATGGAAACATCACTGATGGAGCAAAATGAATATGTTTTTTTTTTAAAATGGGCATAGTTTTCCCATGCCAAATAGCTCAGATTCACAAACGGCTGTACAGTATAGCTTGAAGCCAATTTTGCAATGTTTGAATGACAGGAAGGGAAATGCTGTGCTTTTTAAGCATCTGAAAAATAAAAGGCAGGAAATCATAAGATGATGAACTGCACAGAAGTACCTATGGAACTACTTGCAGCAGTTCTTTATACTTTACTTATTTATCTGGACAGTGAAAACTGTATTCAAAATATAATATAACAATTTGCTTTATGTGTTTTTGAATATAGAAATTTTTTAACACTGCAACAGAGTCCTGCAACCAAACAGTGGCAAGAGAAACCCCTCTGTCTTGGCAACACTGGTTCATGTAGAGGTTTCTTCTCAGGCCCTGTCTTGGGATTTGGTGAAGACGAATTAGGTAAATAAAAAAAATAAAAATGTTATTAAATCATAAGCCTTATTGGTAATGCCTGCTGAACTATTCAAATTTATAGTACATGTTTAAAAAGAAGAAATCTAAAGCTATTTTTCCTTTGCCAAAGGTGTCTACGCTGCTTTCAGCTACACCTTAGCCACCTTGTAAGAAGAACCGAGAAGAGAATGGGTTGTTGGAAGGGGCAAAGGTCCTTACTGTCTCTCATGTTCTGTGAACTGTGTCACTCACTATGACACAATGTGTCATGTACTTGCTTTTATTTCCCAAATTACAGTCTTCAGGGGCAAAGATATTGCATGAGCAGACCAAGCCCCTTCTTCTCCCTTCCTTCCCAATTTTATTTTTTTTAACCAATTCTATACAATATGAAACAAAAAACATTCATGATAAAATATCTTTCACATTTTAGCATCAATTTGGGGAAAGTGCTTTTTTAAATTTTCAAATAGCAATGATTCTGTTGTATATTTCAGTGATGAGTGTTTCTTCCGAAGTTTTTTTAATCTCATCTTGCAAATACAGCTAGATCACAAAAGTCATGTATTTGACGTCTTAGGAAAGGAGAACTAATTTATTGCATTGGTTTCTTTAACAGGTGAGATTTACATATTATCAAGCAGTAAAAGTATGACACAGCCTCACAGCGGAAAACTCTACAAGATCATTGACCCAAAAAGGTGAGCATCGCATTTCTCACTAGAGATCAGTCTTTCCTTCAACAGGTTAAAAACCAAAAGATAAATTTAGTTCTTTCCATGTAGCTGAATTATGCAATACTGACATTCAATAAGAAGGGAAATTCTCAATGCAGGGGGCTTCTTAAAAGCAAATGTACCATCAGCAGCAAGCAGAATAGATTCACTAAGAGTAATCACTGTCCCATAGAAAGTGAATGTCAGAACAACAGAGGTGTAACCAATGCTAACTTCTGGAAATTTTTACTCTTTGACATTATGCTAAATGCTGCCCACTTTCCCACCTAGATTCACATTCTTTGCATGTTTCCATAGAAGTGTAGACATATTTAATGTGGAACCATATGGACCAGTACAGGTAAAAGATGCCTTAAGAGCAATAAGAGCAGATGACTAGCAGATACTCACTTTAGCCAGAGAAATACCATTTTCTTCCTGATGGATCTTGCTGCTCTATCAACCAAGTCTGTGGCATGTAAAGCTACCACATCCATCCTGCAAAAGCATCAGAAATTAACACAAAATGAAACGGCCAACAGAAATGAAGATTGTTGTATTAATTACTTTGACCCCATCAAACCCTGCAAAAGCAACTACCCATTTGTTCAGTGTCTACTTCAGCATGCTTCCCCATTAGCATCAGACAGAGTTTTGGTTTTGCTGTTGACTGTTTAAGAAAGGAATTTATTTACTTGTCAGAATTTAAATTCTAAAAATTGTTATTGGGACAAGTGAATTCAATAATAAATTCATGAAATGGGATGCATGCTGTACTATAAGTTACAGTAGAGTTTCAGTGCTTTGTAATTATACTATCCCAAACCTGTAGCAAATAATTTTGAAGCAGATGTTACTGCAGGTTAGTACAGTCTGTCAGTCAAGGTTATTATGTATGTTTTATTTATGCTTTCTGGTATTAAAAACATTTTTTTAGAACAAAACTTGCCATTCTTACTGGGATTGTTTAGTCTGTTGGTGTATGGTTTTAAGTGAATTTTACACCCTAAATCCACTATTAGTATCTAATTACATGGGGCTGCCTTGTTTGACCTCGGCTTTTTGTTCTTGTTACCTCTTCCAGTAGGGTGGTCTTCAGCTGACATACCTGAAAGGCCAGACCTCCCATTGCTGCACTCACGGTTGGCTGTTTTCATGTATGGAAAAGGGTCAAGACTGTGTTTGGTTACTGGTGAAAGTAACCAGAAAACTATAAAATACTTTTGTAAATTGGCACACAGTTGAAATTAAACAGACTGTGGCAAAGGGATATAGTTTTTGGTAACACTTTTTAGAAACATGGGATAATTTTCATTCAGGCAAAGTTCTGAGTTTTGTTGTTTTTCAATCTCACACCATTGCAAGCTTTTAAGTGAAAGATAATGAGTTACTTCCACAAAAGAGCATTGCAGCTCTGTTTACCATTTTATGTTAATTTCACATTACACTTGTAAAAAACATAAAAATTCCATAGCTTTGATAAATGTTCATGTAATTGCTATTCATATTAATTATTATTCACATGCATTTTTTTGCATGCTAATATTTTGTTGCTCCTTTTAGTGTCTTCCCCATGGTATGTGCCATACAAATGTATCAAATACAGGTGTAAACCCTAGCACAGTAAACTTTCCAGGAGACAAAATAAAGATGCTACAGGTGGGCTATGAGCATCATGTATAAATAAAGTCATCAAAGTATTGATTTGTCACATCTTAGAGATTCATTATTTACTAACAAAACCCTGCAAGAGGTGGCCCCTGGCAGACTCATCAATTTGCAGAGAGAGCCTTCCATGCATGGGGCAGTGTAAAAGAACAAAATTATCATTCCCTGTGGTAGCCCCTTGCTGGAAATTAATAACTTCATGCAAAACACAATCTTCTTCAGCTAGTGGTCATTCGTAAGCTGCTGCAAGCTTATGAAATTGTTCTTTTATTCTAAATAATAAATGTTACATGAAGATGCAGGATTTGATTTCTTTTGATCTTTGTAGAAAACTACTGCATAATCAAAATTGTTCTCAAACATAACCGTGACCCTGATTTCCTTGTCTCAAATATAGCTTAAGAAAGAAACCTACTACTTGGATATAGCTAGCAGTAGAAAAAATTTCAAAACAAGTGGGCAAGTTAAAACATTAGAAGATCAGAGGGTGAGGGTAATCCAGAGAACCCTTTGCATTTATCTTCAATGTTCAGCAATGGGAAAGTCCTATCCTAAAACAATCCTTCTCATGTAATAAAAATGAGGTGTTAAACTGAGATGATATATGACAAATTGATAAATATGATCAACACAGAGGTTCTCAATCCCTCCATCAGTTTGAAACATCGAATTCAAAGTACCACAGGAAACTTTTGTTCATTTCATCCAAATACTTCATGTCAATAACTAAAAAGCCTCCCATCAAATGCACAGAATTAAATAATCCTTCTTTTTGTAACAAGGTTGTTATAATGACACATTAGTACTTGGGAGCTCTTAGACAGCAAAGTGATAAATCGGAAACAGAAAAGTTAAAAATGAATGTAAAATCCAAGTATGTGAAGTGCTGCAAAATACACATATACTACCTATTACCAAAATCGAGTAGAGTGAAAAGTATAGGTAATAGCATATTTAGCTTTGAGATTGGAGGAGATGTGGGAAACCCTAAGAATTACAAACACATAAAACCAGCATTAGGTAAATTAGTTAAACTAGTAGATAAAAGAAAAATTTCTTAAGTTAAAAATTTGTCTTTGAAAAATTTATCCATTCTTTGATGATTATTAAGAAAATGTTGTCACAAGTAAACTACTTCCCAGGGTTAGGAGCTAATGAGAAAATACAGGGAGAAAGACTTACGTACTTCTCAACTAAAAGGTAGGGTTAGTCAGACGTCCTGAAGATCAGTGCAAATACTAGCATTTTATAAATTGTCTTTTTGACCAAAAAAGAAACCCTTTTTATTCTCTATTTTTTGACTTTCTGTTTTATAATTTTTCTGTCTTGCTTTCTGTTTCCTCAAATACATACTAATATCAATCACAAAAATGTTGATGAATGCACAGGAAAAATAACTAGGTAAACAGTGATGTAGAAAATGTGTATAGGTCCAAATATTCCGGTTAGTCAATAACAGAGAAAATAGGAGACAAACCCATGAGAAAAGAAAAAGTAATCATTTTCTAGCATGATGAGAGGAGAAAATCAGCTGTGGACAGTATTAAAAATGCATATTCAAATAAGAAAGATCTGTTGATAGGTTCATATCAGCTGTAATTTAAACATTATTACCAGCTCTTCTTTGAAAACCATAGACAGAGACAGACCAAGAAGTAAGAAAATAAACTTTGGAAGGTGGCAGAACAGCCATAATGTGGCTTTGTAAGTCTTCTTTTAGAACACTTAAATTTTGATCACTTTTCTCTCTAAGCAAGTCAAGCATAAAATGAAAAAGATTCGGAGAAGAATACACAAACTGATGGACAATGCAAAAGATTTCCATTTAAAAGACGAGTCTAAACCCAGAAAAGTTTATAGGACAGTCACACCGTGCTGTATCCCCTGTGAAGTTTTAAGGGCTTGCCACTGTCGATACAGTGATTCCAAAGGGGATGCATAATTCTTTTGACCAGGATGGCTCACTGAAGCCAGCAGGTGATTTTTACGAAAGAGGGCAGAGCTTCAGTAAGTGTCCTTGCACACGTAAGAAGAATTCCTCTTCCTCTCCTTATAACACTTTATAGATCCGGATTTCAATATGTTTCGCATCAACAGCCAGAATAGCTGGTTTCTGTTGGATTGAAACTTGAACTTGATTCAAAGCATCTCACTCCTCTTTCATGCCCCTCCGTCATATGTAATTCCACTTATCATCCTTTTCATCATCACCTTCTGGGATTTCCGCTATAGGAGAGTATTTCCAAACAGACTGATTTCAAACACTAAGGGACAATATCTAGGTCATACTTCATTTTGACATTGTTCGGGGTCTTTACAAAGATTTTATTTTTTAGTATTAGTCAAGAGTGTTCGATGGTATGATAGAAAAACAGCATTTATGAAAGCATAGCCCTCTTGAACACTTTAATTATAATGGAAATGGAAACTCGGAAACATATGGTATTAGACTAATCTGCATCAAGATACTCAGTTCTGATGGGTTATAGATATAATCTGAAGCTACTAGGGGTAACTCTCTGTAGAATGAGCCAATTTTGTTGGTGAATGCTCTCACCAACCCAGGTGGGCCATATGATTTCTTTCTGTTCAGAAAGTTACTATCCCTTAAGTCATTTGAGGGAATGGAAAGCCAGAATTAATGTCTAATTATGTTTAGTTTAGCCGGAGCATGCAAAATTCTTATCTCATTTACCTACCCACATGCAGTTACTATTCCCATAAGAGACACTAAAGAGAAATTAGAGCTTTTTGCGAATACCAGTCTAGAGAGTTTCACTTTACAGAAGTACTTCACAAAAACTCCTTTGTAACCACGATGGAAAAACCTAAGGATTTTTTTCAATCACATCACAGCTCACTGACTGTAAAAGTTTTTGTTTTGGTTTGGGATTTTTTTTTTCCCCTTTTTTTTTAGTCTTTCTAGCATTGGCTATTAAGGAGTTCTCACTTTTTATCGCTTTATAAGGAAAAAACAGCTCAGTTTATCTTTCACTTATTTTCTGGAGCCTGCAGGAAGCCTCTGCCATCCTAAAGAAAGTCATACATAATAGAGCAGCTTTAGCCCAGTAAGCCAGTCTTTCCCAATTCATCAGTCAAAGTGTTATGCAAGTGGCCCCCTAAATTGATAAATTCCCACAGTGCCTGTTGACCCAGCTGCCAAGTGCTCATGCAGCAGGTGTTGTTTTCATGACCACCCTGACAGTAATACAAACTGTTTAGCAGTTGCATTGACCTCTTAGCTATTAACATTGATACAGGCTTCACTAGGGACTAGTTTTCAAACATGACAGAATTTCTTAAGACTAGAGGTCATGAACAAGTATACCATATAAGAATAAATTTGATATGCTGCTGAGTTTAAATCTTAAAAGCCATGAGTTTTTTCCACATTATTCCCATGTAGTAAATCTGGAGACAAGTAATGAGCTTTTGGCATCTCTCCCAGGACTAAAGGTATACTTTTTAATTTTAGAAGCTGTACCTGAAGAGATGCTATATTTATTCTATGACAAGTAGTAAATTTAGTCTATGACAAGTAGTGAAACAAAATTATTTTTTCTTGACATTTTCCCTTATAAAGGAAAAAACCAAACAACTAATGCACAAATTTTGATTATATACTTAAGCATCATTCTAATACGTAATATCTTGTGTGCAGTTAATTGAAGCATAACATTCTTTCCATACATTTTTTACCACAATCAGGATTTCTATGGCCGTGTCTCTTGTTCAAATCTGAACATCCAGGAATTTTGTCTGGGTTTTTTCTCACTTTAGTGGGAAAGTAGCAATTTTTTATATTGTGTCAAAGGCACGATGGAGGAATTGTTTTCTGTTCAGTACCATTGTATTACTGCTGAATTTGACCCTCCATTTGCATTGATTTATGTATGTCTGAGTTACAGGCTAGCGCATCTAGCAACTAAATCACTCTGTGCGTTTAGTGGAACTGTGAAGAGATGCACTGAAGAAAGCATGAAATCCTAAGCAGTTCCAGGATGAGTTTTAATCTATTAAAGCATGTTAGACGTTTATATGCCTCTAAATGAACAGTAGAGGCTACTTTCTTACACTAGCTACAGTAATGCAGCAAAGATTATTTTACACATCATACAGTCAAGAATTCTCAGCGCACTGCACATGTCAGCAAAGGGACCCAGCGAGGGCCCCAGCCCCCAGTACAACTTTTCCTCCATGTTCCATACATTTAGAGTTGTTATACAGTTTCATGAAAGCATGTTTTAACAAGCAAGATATACTGTACTGTACTGTATATATGAACAGCTCTTTAAGATAACTAGAATTGTACAGACCATATAAATAGTCATTATCAGCTACATTTTTGGCTGACTTTCTGTGGACCAAATAGTGCTTACTGTAAGAGTAATCACGCTGTACCCTTCAGAGTTTTATAGATTGAGGGAGACAAGGAAAAAAATTCTCTCCAGCCCACAGTGTGGCTCCATCTATTCCCCTCCATTTTCCACGTCAAGAGACACAGCGAAGCACTAGTTCTATAAACAAAATCGTAGCCTTCTCTAAGTGCTGGAAAGATCAAGTCCCAACAGTCAGTTTCAAGACTTGTGTTATCTTTGTGAGATTCAGTTCGACTTATGCTGAGCCTGAAAATTTCCACCCCTTTAAAGCCTTAAGAATGCAAACTGTAAGTATTGTGGGGCAGAGACTTTCTCTCAATACGTGTTGGTACCATAACGGCATTCAAATCCTGAGAAAGAAGCATGGCTTTTCCCATAGTACAACTAAGGAAAACCAGTGATTCTTCTCACACACAGGAAGGCTTCTGCTGCAGCTGCATTTGTATTCCTCTTCTCCTAAGGCACTCTGCCAACCAGAATTTTTTCCATCTTTGTTTCTACTCCACCCCACCATTAATAAATACTATCCAAAGCTGATGAGTGCAAGTTATTGATTGATGGTAGAATAAAAGGCAAGGTTATATTCACAAGTACCAAGAGCACTAGAAAACTTTAAATCATAAAATTGACCAGTCATGCTTGGCTGGATACAAAAAAGTATGATTTCTGCCTCCCTAATTAAATACAAATAAAAAAAGAACCATATATTCCAGCACTATAGTAGATAAAGACTTTACATCTATTAATAAAATAAATCATTATCTTCACAAATAAAATATCTCTGTGACTTATGAGGTCATTCTTTGCTAAAGATATGCCACTGGAGCTCTTTTCCAAGAGATGCTCCAGGAGCCTGAGGTTATGCTTCCTGCTAAACACAGTACTGTATTTGTGTTTGAGCAAGAAAAAGAGAAGACTGCCATTTAAAGTAACTTGAAAGAAATGGACTTTAACAGAGACAGATGAAGAAAGAATGTTGTCTCCTATGCAGCTGGCTATAAAGAAATCACCTCAAATTTAGATATTTTTTTTTCCAGAGGTAGGAATTAGAAGACAGATCTTTTTACTTTAAATCTGAACAAGTGTCCACTGAAAATCATATCATTTTGTAGAACTGTTTCCAAAACAGCAATGCCTGTGAATCTTGCATATTTTAAGTGTAGGAACTTTCTTAACCAGACCATATGTAATACACTCATTACTACAGAACTGGAATTCCTTACAGGTCAAAAAAATAATGCATTATATTTAAAAGACAGCCGTGGAAATATAAAAATACAAAACCTGAAAGGGTTTCAAATGTGCTGCACGAAAGGTGTCAAAACACATTTCAAAGCCCTTAAATAATACAGGACCTTAAGTCTGACTCTCAGAAATGCTTTTGAAATCAGAACTTGGTGCTACACTAAAGATGCATCTACACATTCTTTCTGTCCTTAACATCTTTGGGGAACCAATTCTTCTGTATGGATGTTTAAGTAATCATGGCAGCATTTAAGACTGAGCAGAGAAAGTGCTACGGTGAAACAAACCAGCAAGTCTATTACTCTGTTTCAAAGAAAAATGCAAGAAACCCTGTAACATACCATTAACAAGCTGCATGCCAAAATGGGGGGGGGGTGTAAGCCCAGTCAGCTGGTGAGGGACTTCTATGACATTAGGTATGAGTGCTTATTTTTCTTAAACATTATTTTTACCCTATCTAATATTACTTTGAATAGCCCCATTGTGCATAGAAATATCTTTTTAAAATCCTACTAGAACATGGGCTTCATTGATATCTTAGAAGCCATAAGTTCAACTAGTTAATATTATTTTCTTTAGCTTAATTTTTTCCCTCGATTTTTCTTCTGATATTGAAATGGGAGATAAAGAAGAATGCCCAATTTTCCTTCTCTTTTTTCTGTCACTGTTTTCCACACCCCCATGACAGCCCTTCTTTCTCAGACCACAAATTGTATCCTTGGCTCCACACAGGGGCACCAGTCTAGGATATTAATATTTGACAGGGCGATCAGTGCACAAATTGCTATTCCAGCTATTTGCATATAATTGGGGGTGTAATACTGATGTCAGTATAATGAACAATTTTATTTTCTATTCTATTCTATTCTATCTCATACAATTTTGTTTTGGTTTGTTTGGATTCTAGCTGGACACCTAGCCAAGGTTTCTCTGAGCTTTCCACAAAATTATTAGAATCTTTGTGCTGCAAATTTCAAGCTTAGGAATGTATGGCAGTAGTTGAAATTATTTCCTTGTGAATGAGCAATTTTGTATTTGTCACTAACTAACTTAATTTGCCATGATGCTCCCATTCAATTACTTGTTTAGGTCTCTTGGGAGACCCTGCCATTCTTTTCTAAACCTATTCCTGTGCATTCAAACCCACAGCACAGACAAAACGTTGTGCCTCTACTGGCAACCTGTAGCCTTGTGATGATCTATCAGTCTCTAGCTGCTGAACTCAGACAGCACGTAAAATAAGTGGTCAGTATGATGACACACGGCTAAATTAAAAAAAAAAAACCAACAAAAAAACCAACATCTAAAAAAGCATTGGAAGTCGTATCAACAATTAGGGCACGCTTAAGTTATAACACTTAAGTTTTTTACACACTTAACACTACAGAAGGAACACTACCATTCCTTCTTTGTTAAGGAAGATAATGCTTTGCTTTTGTAAATAAAAAAGGCTATTGGACATCCAAAATATTTTGTAGAGACCAACAGAAAAAATTGCATCACGTAAAACTTGACACCAAGAAGCCCAACAAAAAAACAGTATCAGAAATATTTTAAGTCAGCTGAACTAGAATTTCCTTCATGCATACATTTCACAGAATCACCCACGGAATGGCTGAGGCTGGCAGGGACCTCTGGAGGGCATCTGGGCCAACCCCCCTGCTCAAGCAGGGACACCTACAGCCAGTTGGCCAGGACCGTGTCCAGACAGCTTCTGAATATCTCCAAGGATGGAGACTCCACAGCCTCTCTGGGCAACCTGTGCCTGTGCTCGGTCATCCTCATAGTGAAAAAGTCTTTCCTGACATTCAGACGCTTAAATAAGCATCTGGAATGCATAATCCAAATATGATTTCACAAAAATATGGAAATACAAAATCTGCAATGTCAAACTGAATTCATAGACAGAGGTAATACTTGCGCAAAATTATTACGCATGTCATAATGTGCGACATAAAGCTTGCTGTTCAGATTACTCTTCCCAGCATACAACTGGAGATATAAATCAGCTAGAAAAGCAAAAAGACACCATCAGATTCTGGACTGAATTATATGACTATGCGCTCTCTAAAGAAAAGCCACAAAAGCAGTAGAATTTAGCATTTCTAATAATGATATTATCTAGAGATACATGCTGCCTGCGATAAACTCTTCAGTAAGCTGGTCTTGCCACATACAAGCTTCAAGAATTCTCAAGGACTATTATTTAATCTTGTAGAAGATCTCTGAAGGCAGTTACATGAAAGAATAGCAAATCACACTGTATTCTTCTGTAATGTAACATATAATCTCTATGTTTATTGGTGTTTTTGAGAAAAAAAGCAATCCCCTTAGAACACAGATTTCTCCCACTGATAATACTATAAAAGAGAATCTGGCCTTTAATGAAAAAACCCAAGTTTTTCTCCTTAACACTGACTTTTAACTATCCGCTTGGTTGGTATATTTTTATTCAGGCCTTTAGTCCCTGAAGAATGCAAGAGAACAGCTCAGTCGGCACAGATACTGACATCTGAATGCTCAAGGCATTGTCGGAATGGGCACTGCACTCCCACAGGAAAATGCTGCTGTAATCAAGGCTGGGAAGGAGAGTTCTGCAGAACTGGTTTGTATATAGATTCATAGCAACAAGTGAAAAAAGCAGTGACATGTCATAATTTGCTTTTAATTATTTGCTGAGAGAAACTTTCAATATATGTCATTGACCATCAGTTCTAAGACAACATTAAAGAAATACTGACCTCATGAGTTGTAGGAGATCAGTAAGTCTTTAGATGAGTGCAACAGCTAAAACATCTAATGCAACATGAACCATTACAGAATGCAATTAATAGCATAAGTATGACAGACAACAGAATTCTTATTTTTTCACCAAGATTGTAAAATGAAAGGAAATGCAATCAATACATGTTCTGTGTTTGGACATTCAGCTTCCACCTGCAGTATTATCACTGTCAGTGTCAAATAGGAGTACCTTGACAGGAAAGATGATCAATCAGACCTGCAGGTCACTATTGCATATTTTGCACTTTGCTAATTTAGTGTAAATACTTTAGTTTTGGTACATTCTTACTTTTGATCCTACAAAATAAAATGGCTCCAGTTTGCTAAAGAGAATTACATGTACAACTTATCACAAAGCAGCTAATAATCAGAATGTTATTGTAATCCATTATTAACTGCAGTGCTTTTATTAAGTCCTATCTTGTTGCCATAGCATTATCTTCTAAAACTCATTTGAAAAAGTGACTGTGATCAAACTAGATATTTGGTATGCCACCAAAGGGGTGAGCTGAATGAACCTGGAGTGCCACAGCTGTGCTACCACTGTCTCACAGAGGCTGTGGTTATGGCTGAACTGTATAACTCTGGCCTATGCAGATCTTCCAGAGCAAGCCTGGGTACCAGGAGGTGTTATTAGTGCATTAGCACAGCCTTCTGACCGAGCGTATTTTCTCAGCGAGTTTGACCAGCTGCCCATACAAAGAGATAAGGTTAACATAATGGCAGTAGAACTCAAACGAGTAAAAGAATTACAGAGTAAGACAAAGCAAGGACCACACGAAGGACCAGGGATAATTCAGGTTGGAAGGGCACTCAGGAGGGCCCTGCTGAAGCAGCGTCAGCTACAAGGTCCTTATAGCCTGGAGAGTAAATTTCAGGAACCTCCGGGTTTTTGGTGATGAGCAGGAGTGACTTCATTTGGAATGAAATGAAATCACTAATGATATATCTTACTGACAAGACTCATGAGCTGACCATCATACAGCCATGCGACAAAAGCAGGTTGGAGAAATGGATGAGGTAATCTGGCCAAATAGCCCAACTTCAATTGTCCTCACTTGTCAGTCAGAGATTTCCTACATTTAGAGAATGAGGCCCATTCTACAGCCCTTGTCCAAGTGGAACTTAAAGTAAAAAACACCTCCAGTGTGAACATAAATGGGTCTTGAACAATGTTTTGTTTAAAAAATTACAGCTCTATGATGGATAATTTGATAGATGCAATGTACAAGAAAGCTACAGAAAATATGTAGACTAAGGATGTTTCTTCCCTGTATCCAACGCAGCACTTAACAGAGGTGTTCTAAGTTGGACCTCAAGCTACTATTATAGTTTAAATAAGAAAAATTACCATATGAGCCATCAGTTTTCTCCGAGTGTAATTAAGAGACTCATGAATAAAATCAAGAAACCTGTTTTTATATAGTGTATTATAAATCTCTGTAAATGAATTATATAGTTTTATTGTAATAGATAACATAAACAGCAACACGTCTGCAAAAAGGAAGATACATTATATTTATCACAGCGCTGTGACTCTACCCCAGAAGAAAATACTTCCACAACTAAAGTTATTGATTGTTAGCTAACACTGGCTACAATTTAAAACAGCATTTGTATTCAAAAAACTTAAGCAAGCTGATTAACCTCGAACTCTACAGGTAAATAGTCAGGCATCAGAGGGAGAAACCTGGAAACTTAACTAACTGATAAAAGCTGTCCAAAAAATACCCTGGTTCTTTTTTTTCTAAAGGGAATTCAATTTTGTTCCAAGCATAAATGATTCAAGAGCCAAAGGAGTGCATCTCTGTGGGCAATTGTGGTCTTCTCTGTTAAGGAAAGTGTAGTGCAGAACTCTGCATGTACACAGGAGTTTACCTGAGATTTAGTACTTGCTAGCTTGGAGATGGCCAGGTGCTAAAATGTCTCACCAACTTTAGGACTTTTTTGGGTTGCCTGCATAAGCAATGGGATGAGGTAGACCACCACTGTTTAAAGATCTAGATGTGCTGTATGTCTTGTTTTCAAATGATATGACATTTGGAGCCTAAAATCTTTTGAGATGGGTCTTCTATGCACTCCACAATCGAGCATGAACCTAGGAATTGGACATTGTCAAAAATCTGCTATTTGAGTTTCACAGTGTGTCCTAGGTGGCATCCTCTCAGACATACAAAATTACTTCCTCCTCCAATATTCTAAAACTTTAAAAAATGTGGTTTCAAAGCTTCTAATATTTTGTCCTTTCTATTTTGTTTTTATTTTTTGTGCTTTATCATTACAAGTTTTGAAAGTCTTTTAATGAATGTGTACTGTATCTTTTCAGTTTGTGATGTTCTAAACAAATTAGAAAATCATTGTTTTTTTACCCACAGCAAAATGTGACCCAGCCTGTCGACATGGAGGTGTCTGTGTAAGGCCTAATAAATGCTTATGTAAAAAAGGCTATCTCGGCCCCCAGTGTGAACAAGTGGATAGAAACATCCGAAGAGTGACAAGGGCAGGTATTCTTGATCAGATCCTAGACATGACATCCTATTTGCTGGATCTAACCAGCTATATTGTATAGTTTCTGGGACTATTTGGAAACTACACTTTCAATGGGCATTTGTTTTGAATCCTGTCATTTTTAAAAGACTGTTATCCTGCAACAAATACTGGTGATTTGATTTACTTTATTAATTTAAGTATAATATCCACAAATGTGCAGATAAATTCTTTGTATGTGTGTAAATATTTCTGTACGTCTCCACAGACGTACCAATATCCAATACGTGCGCACATACACATGCACGCACTATCACAAATACGGTCTTGCAGCTAGTGGAATTTTTTTTTATATTTATTTCTTCATGAGAAATAGTTTACAAAGTAATTCCACTGTAAACCACATTTTCATCAAAGGACTTCCATGATGTCTTAATGGATTCTTTGACATCCCAGAAATCTCGTGTCTGTACCTATCTGATTATAGCAATAAGAGAGCAATTTTCAAACATCGCTGTATAAACTGCTGGACTTAATAAAATCCAGTTGTAACAGTTTCTAAGGTGAACTGAACTACATCATGAGACAATATTTCAGAACTCCTTAATGCATTCCTGTCTAGGCAATTCATTGTAAGACTGTAACCTTCACCTTCATCAATGTAACTCTATTACAGAATGTTACGCATTTCTTTATCTAGCATAGATGCAAAAATCTGGTTATCGCAGCTTAATATCAAGATTGTTTAAAGTGTTTAATAATTAAATTATATTCACATATTTCAAAACCAGTCATCCTAGAAGGTCTGCTTTTTATCATATATTTTATTTAACGATGGGCACTGGGTTCATGTTACATATTTATATTATTTTATTTTATTTTTATAATATAGACATCACCTAGATGAGACAGCTTTACCATGTCCTGTAAAATACTAAAGTTACATTTTTCACCAACTTAATTGGAAAGACGGGGAAAGAGAAAGCAAACACACTCTTTAATGTGTTGTGGATCTAATCTAGAAATGTATCCTTGTGTCAACTTGTATTCATTTACGACGGATGAAAAAAACAACTGCCAACCAATCATAATAAAATTCCAGCATATGTTAAAAGTGTTCATAAAGTGATTTTCACTGTAACAGGACAGGCCAGATCATACACAAGTAGACTGCTGCCAATTTCACACTGAATGGAACGTCCCCGGACGAGAGCTCACATGAGCGTGTGTGGCTGTGTAAGATGTCACTTGTACAAAACGTATAACGATTCTCGCCAAATGTGGTTCTAAATGTAAATGGTCCTTGAAGAGCTAACGTAAAATTGAGTCTTTGTAAATGTATCAATAAATATGGTGTACATGCTATAGTCAGGTTTTCTAAAGTATTAATAGTCTAAATAGATCTTTCTTCAGAACTGGTGCCCTCTTATCTTCAGTTCTACGGCGTTATTGGCAGTTTCTTTGCTCACTACTTACCGACTATCAGATTTCCTTTGCACTACCTGGCTTTTATAAAACCTTGCCTATGAAAAGAAAGCAGAGTAGCCACAGTGTGCACATCCTATGGTTCTTATAAGTAGCTGTTCATGCGTCAACGATTTACAACACTTTAGGCAATAAGATCTAAAAGACTTTAGCCATATTACTCTCCAGTAGCAAAATTACCTCTCCAGGGCAATGACATGCAATGAATTTTCCTTTATAGAAAGTTGTCAGTCTTCAGTTAGTAAGTATTAAATCTGAAAGTACAGCTTGACTGATACTTGCATTTCTCTGTCTTACACATTCCAGCTCAGAGGAACAGAAAATTACATTTGCCTTCCATATATGTTTGCCTGGGTTTCGAGTGACCTCATGCCAAATGGAAGTTGGTTGAGAAATCTTGGTTAAGTGCTCAGCGAACAATGGTCTGCATTAAAAAGTGCATGCATAATTTTGCACAATGTAGATTCAACTGACAGTCCATTGAAAGACGTCTTGGGATTAAATGAGCATGAAGACCAAATTGCCCTCTCACCCCAGAAAAGGGTGGTCCCTTATAGTCACACGAACACTTCATTGGCTAAGCAGTGTGACCAATCTTAAAATGAACCCTGCAGTAGCATCTGTAGGTTAATAGCAGCTCTTTGTCTCCGCTGCTTTCTGCCTTTAGTCTTTTCCCTGAATTCCATCACAAAAAGTTTTACAATTAAAAAATGTCCTGACAACCATTTTTGTAAATTGACCTTAGCATCTAATCTTTCCTTATTCAACGTGGGTGACAAAAATGTGAACTTCTCATGAATGAGCCAGCTGTCTAAATCTGTCAAATAGTGCAGTTTTATTACACTCTTCATAATCGGCAAAGCAAGAAAGTCGCTGAAGTATTTTAGCAACATTTAAATATCTGACAGAGATAATATCTTTAACGCTTTCTTTAATGAAATGTATTTAAAAATAAACCCAACTTAACTCCACTGTGACGCATTATTTTCAACAACCAGCTGGGGAGATGTGACAGTTCTTTTCTCACTGCTTAGTTCCTGGAGACTTAACAAATACCACAGATGGTACCTAAATTGAAGATCCACAGTAATATATATGCCATAGTCATGTAGAGAAGGGATAACAATGATCTTAGAGTTTTGATCTTAATAATAAAGACAATTTAGTTTACTAGTGAAATCAGAAAATAAAACTCCAGTAAAAGCTAAGAATTAAATTCAGGCCTCATTCAAATTATGGCAAAAAACTCACATCAGCTGTGCTGCACCCAGAAAATCACTTTCAAAATTTAAGCAAAATACTTCAGTTTATTTTTATTAAAAAAAAACAACTTCTGTTTGAGTCATTCCATCAAAACTTCAGCACTAAGAAGTAATCTAAGTGAAGATTAGAGGGAGAGGGGAGATAGTTTGTGGAAAGTGTTTTGCTTCATTTTTAAATCATCTTTTATATCTTGTGAAAGCAAGCATCTGCATTAAGCCCACATGGGTACATAGGAAGTCCCAGTGGAAAAGTATTCTCAAAAAAAAAAGACAAAAAATCCTAGCTGCTTATTTATCAAAAGAAATTATACTATTAAAAAGAGTGAGTAAACCCCAGGCCTAGCCACCCAAGATGCTAATATAAAAAGGGCAACTGCAGTAATTGCCCTGAGAATTGGCAAAAAAAAAAAAAAAGGGGGGGGGGGTCTGTAGAAAGCCCGTTGCCAGTTAGGTCATTCTGCAGCCATTCTCACACAACCTCCGAGAGTGTCCCAGAATAAAACTGAGCTTATAAATGAAACTAGATAAATGAGGCAATTAGATAAGGGCCTCCAGAAGGGATTTTATGTATGTGTTCAAGTTGTCTCTGTCTCTGTCTCTCTCTCCTAATCTTTTATTCCATTCATTTCTTCCTTTATTCGGAGATACTGCCTCTCTGTTCCCAACACATTGTACATTTCAAGCATTCTTTGAGGCTTTTTACTGTTAAAAGACAGCAAACATACCTGTTGCAAGAAACATAACTCTGTTCCTAAAGTCTGCTAGTTTTCAACCCTCATTTTATTACTTTGGGACAGAAAACCTTCATCTTTCTCTTTTTAAATGCCACTGATGAGAAAGAAGGCGTATTATTGGAATTTAGGAGAAACGCCTTTACTCCATAGATAGGTAGGGAGACAAAAAGATGTTATGTAAAATCAGCTCCAGATTGTTTCACTCCATTTCAGAAAAACAGTAAACTCATTTTTCTAATGCGTCCAATAGGAAATATTAACTTAACTTAAACCCTCCCCCTCAAGGAAATAAATTTCTTCCGTTAACAGTCAGGGACAGAGATGCCAAACCCTTTGTACCTTTAAATCCTCACAGGTTGTTCTACTTCATGCAAACTGTAAGTCAGGTATAAATAAGAGTATAAATTCTATATCACCAACATGACACCTCTGTTTATCTCCTTCTTTCTTTCACTTCTCCACATTTTGACTTTGCAGCTCCTTCCTTTCTAGAACCACAGCAAACGTCAATAATCCCTGGTTGCTGCAGGTGATGCTTATTATTTTTGAAACTGCCTAATAGACGTGTGCATCAAAGAGGCTTCCCAGCAGGCAAAGATTTTTATCTTTTGATCATTCCACAGAACTTTGTTATTTTATAGTGACTTCTAATACTGCATCTTAGCTGGACATTTACAGTTCAGGAGTACCAGCCTTAAGCAGCTCAGACTGAAGCTGGAGGAAGGGAGAAAGCACTTGGTCACTGTACAGTCACTGTGCTTATCAGAAAGTTACTGATTTCAATGCATTAATCAGACACCTCAAGTGAAAAGCAGAACAATATTCCCGGGATGACGAAACGCTGCTTTTCAGTGTATACTTTCTCTAATTTGGGGTTAGAAAAGGCGACCTTTTCAGGTACAAAGATGCAAAATGGAGATTCTGAAAACACTTACGAACAAGTAACTTTTCACAGGTGTAAAGCCCCACTAAGGTGAAAATCAATATTTGTACATGTAATTCTACTTGCATTAAATGAAATAGGCATTTATAAGATTGGGCCTGCATGGAAAAAACAACTCCGAGGATATCCTGCTCTGCTTATTTTTCCTTAATTATGTAAATCCTTTAAAAGGCATTAATGCATTTTAATTTACTATCCTTTAATGTAACTGTGTATCAGTTTAATTAGGAATGATACCATTTTGATCTTCTGTCCAACTGAAAAGGTGATCTGTCTCTCAGAAAAAAAAGGAGTCATGAAGTAAATAAAAACTAATTTTTCCCATTTTGCAATATTAAAAATTGACCAATTTTTTATTTTTGTCACTTAAAAAAATTAACTAAGAATCTCACCAAAAAGGCAATCAACCCTTTAAATTTATTCTAATCCAAATTTGCAGAAAATGTGTACCAAATAATCTGGGTTCTGGCTACAAAAAACTCATAAATATTTCCATAAGTAGTTTCAGAGCAAAATGTTGTGGAAACATTGAAAAAAAACATTAGGACCATTTTGCTAAAATGTTCGTTGTTTTCAACGGCAGAGTAATTCAGTGAAGCAAGACACATGTACTTTTTAGGATATAGGTGTGAAACAGCAGAAGCCACCTGAAAGCTTAGTACAGGATTACTTTAATCTTTGAGGGCCTGACTCAAAGTCCATTGATGTCAACCGAAAATCTCCTATTGACTTCATTAGTTATAGGATTAAGTCCTTAAAAGATATCCACTTAGCTGGCAGAAGATCTTACCTTCAGACATCAGTGTACACATGACCCCTCTGTGTCTGCGTCTGCAGTCATTAAACACACCAAGGTTTTCTGGAATAAGACTGCAGATTCAGCCCTGTGCAAAGCCATACGGAGCATATCCTACTTCAAGATGTACGGAGCGTATCCGATCCTCTTGGGTTTCCTTATAGGCATCGCCAACAGTTACACAAGGGGTCTATTAAATCTGCCAGGCTTCTTGATGCTTCTTTGAAAATGTTGAGCATTAGCTCACATTTTTTCTCTTTCACACATACATGCTTATTTCAAATACGTAAGCATATGCCACTAAGCAGGAAAGTAATTAAAATACCAAGTCAGTGGCCCCGTTTTATGAAATAGCCATAGTAAGACAGGGCCCAGAGTTGCCCCCACAGATGCTCACAAACATCTACAGAAGAGTTCCCTCGACTGTTTTGAGTCCAGTATTACAAAGGCTGATTTCAGCAGCCTTAGGCACATTTTCAAGACCTTCTTCCTGTATTTAATAGGGATGGTGTAATATTTCAATCAAGACTATATCCTAATCCAAAAAAAATGTTGTTGTCACCCTTACTAATAAGACTAGTACGACCGAAAGCGATGAGACTCCTTAGTACTGAAATGACAGGCGTAAGCGATTTTGGGGAGGGACATGAGCAGGCATTCTACAGATGCGTGCTAGGCAAAGGGATAGCCGCTTGCCTTGGTGCTCATTGATTTCAATTACAACTCTGCACACAGCATTTATCGTGCTATAAAATGCACAACGCCCAAACAATCTTAGCACAGCAATTAATTCTGTATAGCTTTACACTGGGCAGACTGACGAATCAGAGAGTATTAC